CACTCTGGTCTTGGTCTTGTCTTGGTCTCGGGTTAGGTGGTCTTGAACACAACACTGGCAGCTTCTCTCTATTACATTTCCTGCTTCTGGAATAGGCCACACACAAAAAGAAGACACCTAAAGGAAGCAACTCTTGAAAACACAACAGAAGGCCAACAACACCTTGCAAAAGTATCTATACTTTAAATTTTATCACTTTACAGCCACAAACCTCTATGCATCTGGGGGAAATACTTGAATTCTTTTTGCAGCTAAGTTTTAAATCTTTTATTTTGTTCCCCTTTTTCTGCCAGAAACAAAACAAAACAAAACAAACAAAAAAAAAAGATCTGCACAGTCATGTGAATTCATAAATAAAAATGCTGATACATGTTCGTATCAGTATGTACATCTTATCCAGGAAATCTGTGTCAGTAGGGAGAACATAAAAAAATGATGGTAACAAGTAAGGCGTGGCATGTAAGCCACATGTCTGCGAGTTCTCTACAACTTTCCTAGTCTTGCTCTCTTAAACTTTATTGTACACAGTCTGTATTTAGGTTGAGCAACTACAAAGATTTATTAGTACTTTAGCAGGGTATTGGATATGTTTTAGGTCTGCGTTCAACAGATTACTGCTGTTGAGTGTCTGCCAGGGTTCTCTCTCAAAAGCTGTGATTCTCTGCCACCTTGTGGAGAAACACGGTATTGCAAAGATGCATGTATTGTGATACTATGTATGAAGTAAACCTGCTACTACAATGCAGCACGTTGCTCTGATGAAGTACCTTCATATAATTTAATGTGTGCAGTAGTGTCTTAAATATCAGCTGTGATGTAGGCATTGTCAGAAAAATCTGATCCCAGTTGAGCCTCTGCGTGTTACGCTTCTTCTGCTGCCAGATAAAGTGCGCTAAATCCTCTCTTGCAATGCTGAAATAAGCTGGAATGACTGCTGGGCTTTCAGCCTCGCTATGATTTGCGAAGCAAAAAAAGTTGAGCTGTGGAGAAAACCACTCCTCAGAAACAGAAGCACCTCCTAATACCCCACACACGTACTACAATCCTCAGCAAGGCTCTAATTGCTCAGCAGCAGAGTGAACGGTGTCCATTTTCTGCCTCAGTTTTGTGTGTGTTGTCAACTTTACACCGTGGTGTTAGGAAAACACAACAATTAGAGCTGTCAGCGCCTGAACACACTGAGCTGGAGGTGTTGTTTTTACGGATTGTTAGTTTCTGGGGAAACTGTCCCCGGTCATGCCGCTTGTGGAGCTGAATAAACGTCACCTTTTGCATTAAATGATGCAAGAAGCACATTTTGCACATCAGAGCTATCCCAAAAGTCATGATGAAAACATAAACTTAACTCTGTACAATGAGAGGGGAAACAAAAGCCAGTGACATAACATCCTTGTTTCTCGCTTCCCCGCCCCCCCCTCTCCTTCTCTGCCTGCTTCCTGCTTTACTCCACCAGGAGCTACGACCAGATGAGCGTTTCCACAGATATTGGGCCGGGATCTGAGTGTGACCCTCATTCTGACTATTCCTCTCTGTACAACTTGGATATGAACGCTCCGTCCAGCCCCATGTCTCCCTCCAAACTCAAGGTGGGTTTTTACTACTTTTAAAGTTTACTCAGAAAGCTTAATGTCTGAGCGACTTGTGCAAAAGTGGATTTTGTCACAATGAGCTGGGAACTGGAAATTTGTTTTTGAGAAATTTTGATTGCAATAGTTTTTTTTTTTTATTATTTGTGTTTGGTGCCTGCAGATATTTGCAAAAATAAGGTGGCTTTTCAGGGTATTGAGGTCACTTGGACAGCAAATTTATGCTTTTGTGTGTGTTTAAAGACATTATATAAAAGGGAGCCTAGGCACCTCAAACTAAGGCGTGCTTTGTAAGCTTGTGAGAACAATAAGAAAGGCTTGTTAGACTTTCAAAACCACATTAAAATTGTGTTCAACAAATAATAGAAAAATTTGGCTCCTCACACGCAAGATACACATTCAATTCAGAGTGGCTCAGCCTATGTAAATAAAATGTTTAAGCATTATCAAATGCATATCTATTTGAGGCTTAAGTGGCTTACTTCTGCAATATACCGCCCTAATGATGCTTAGTCAGTAAATTAGCAGGAGGAGCTGTTTTTCCTGAGGTGCTTTACTTCTAGACAGTAGCTGGCACATTTCAGCAACCCTCTGCTGATGGGAGAAATGACAATTTTGTTTCATCAACAAAGAAGGCATGAAAAGGAATGTGTGAGGAAATTGAAAACAAAAGTCTCCTGATTATTTGGTCAGTTAGTCAGTAAATCCACATGTTCTAGCAGAAATTCAATCATAATCTGGGCTTGGAGACAATCAACACAATGAAGAATATATATTCTCAGTAATGAAGAATGTGGAAATCATGAAATATGGAAAAAACATCTGTAAAATTAAATTCAATGACGCTTTCTGAATATCTAATGTCCATGTCCATTTGTTTCTTTATCTATTTGTCCATCCGTCTGTCCATCCATCCATCCATCCATCCATCCATCCATCCATCCATCCATCCATCCATCCATCCATCCATCCATCCATCCATCCATCCATCCAAACAGTGAACCATTACTTTAATTAAAGTATATTTAAAAATAGGCTGCATGGTGCCAAAGTTGGCAGTGCTGTTGTCTTGCAGCAAGAATATCTTCAGTTCATATCTGAGCCTGGGGTTTTTCTGCATAGAGTTTGCATGTTCTCCCTGTGCATTGGTGCTCCAGCTCCCTTCAGCACTCCAAAAAACATGACTCTTAGGCTAATTGGTCTTTCTAATTGCCCTTAGATGCGAGTGTGTGCATTCATGGTTGTTTGTCCTGTGTGTTTCTGTGCTACCCCGCAATCAGCTGGCTATCTGTCCAGAGTGTACTTTTCCTTTTCACACAATGACTGCGGCAGATAGGCGCCAGCATCCCCACAGCCCTGCAATGATAAGCAGATATAGACAATAGATGTACAATGGATGGATATTTACAGTAGAAACAGGAAGTCAGGAATCAGTCAAGGAAACAAAATTAGCTGAGTTTGATCATCTCTCCTCTCAAAACATCCTCTGAAAACATGACATGGTGCTTTTAACTTTCCAACACGACTAACATGTTCTGATAGTTGCAGGCATGGTGTTACATAATTTACAAGATCATTGTCAGTAATATTTTTTTTTTTGGTATTTTGTTGCACTGTAATGAATATTGTCTCTGAATCAATTTTAAAGAAGGGCAAACAATAAAAATGGGTTACAAAGAAAACAAAAGGCATCATTACAATTCTTGCTTTAGTAATTTGTCAAATATAGACCAGGAGACTACAGGTCTGGTCTTTATATTCATAGTTATACAACTTTCAACTACACAAGCATTCCAAGCAAAGGTTGGAACTTAAAAATATCCCAAATACGAAAATATTTCAAACACACAGGCTTCCGGTTTGCAGAGAAGAGAAAAGTTATGGCTGCAGATTCAAAAGTAGAAAGACCTGATACCGGTGGAAAATATAATTAACTTGCGTCTTTGACCAGAGAAAAGAAGCAACAACAAGGCAGGTAGCAGAATACAAAAGATAAAAGGCAGATTTGTCTCTGAAGAAATAAATCTGTGACAATGTATTTACTCAGAGGGAGGCGATAATTAACCAAATGGTGGGTGTGTTTTTTATTGAAACCTGCTACAGAACACAAAGTAGAACCACAGTGGAGGTTTTATCGACTGAATTTGGACATAGCATTTATTTGCAGCTCTTTTCAACTCCCTACAACTTTAACCAATCAATATTATTCCAGCCTTAAAATGTCTTTTATTTAGACTTATGCTGCTATCATTACGTCTGTGTTATGCACAGAGTATTTTGTTAGATCATACTTTTGAATGAAGAAAAGTGAAAAGATATTTTTTCAATATGTTATAACTCTTTATTTAATGATTTGTATGGTACATTATGGCACTATGGAGTAGGCAACCATGAAAAGTGATCTAATGATATGCCTGTTGAAAACAATATATATATATATATATATTATTTATTTTTTTTTATGTCAATATAGTTAACTATACATTTTGTATGACTATCAATGTATAATGTATTTGAAACTTACACAACGCAATTACTGACAAATTTATGTAACCATGGAAGGATTTGTTGGTTTAGTGAACTGTGCCACTTTTAGACCGTCACTTGTTCCTCTAGGCTAGTTTCAGTCTGTCTTCCTTTTTTGGTGGCAGAAAGCCATCATAAAAATGTAATCACACATTTTGCTTTTGCTGTCACATTTAATGACTTGATACCCTTTAAGGTTTGGTACAAATAACTGTATGGGATCTGAATATGCCTGGGCGTGTTTTTTTTTTTTTTTTTTTTTTAATATTAAACCAGTCAAACCAGTCCTCTGTTCTATTTGTGTCAATGGGAGTGCTTGACAAGAACTCCTGTTATGTGGAAGAGAACAAAATCCTGAATTTTAGAAATGTATACATAAAAAAATCAAATCTTCCTTTAACTTTACAGGTGTTTTGGATGAAAGTATTACTTTTCATGGTGTTTAATCCTGTGTTATTACACTCTGACATCGAAACACGAAGCAGAGCTCTGGCTGACAGATAAGGAAGTGGAGTATAACGCACACAGATGTGGCACACAATCTCCACCTACCTAACATTTCTTTCTGCTTTGGGCAAATAAAAGGTGAATGGTAGCCGGAGAAGGGCTAATACAACACAGAGGCAGCTGTTCATTTAGAGACTACTGGTAATGATTGAAAGACCTAAAGGCTCACTGGATATTTCACTCAGGCTGTTTTCGTTCAACTTCCACGCGGTGGATTTGTGAATCACTTGGGGCAATCTGGAGGTAAAGTAGAACAGATTTGATCACATCTTGGAGGTAAAATGAGATGAGATCAGAGTGTCTCATCTCTTTTAATAAGCCGGACAAATTCATGTTTGCCCAGTGGAAATATATACTTTTGACGTCCGTGGTTAGTTTGTTTCAATAAACCACTTTCAAAGTCTGCTGAATATATTCCCATTTGTCCCTGAGCAGTTTGGCTTAATTCTGGTGGTTAGCTTTTTAACTGTATAATTCATACATAGGCTTTATGACTCTGCTGATCAATACTGATTTGTCCTCTATAATCAGAGCAGTAGATAACAGATGATCGACTTTTATGCAGCTTTAGAATAATAAAAGGGAGCGTTTGCCCTCAGCAGCAATAAACATGTCTGCTGTTATCTGTGGGAATGTGAATGCCCCATAGTTTCCCTTTACTTGTGAGCTGATCACTTAGCTCAGAGTAGAAGACAGAGATATTTTACCGTTTCTATTCTATTTTTCTTCTAAGAAGACTAACTCTTTTCAAGTTGTCAACTGGAAATCAGGACAAATACGGGTAGGAAATTAGAAAACATATCTACTGCATATAGCAAATATCAAAATAAGGAACTGGGCTGTTGTGTTGGGCGCTGGTTTCTGCTGTTCTCTCTTTGTGGTCCATGTTTTTCGTCTGAACATGTTTTATTTGCTTTGACATTACTATAGCAGATTTTGCAATGTAAGCTGTTGTTTCTTTGAGTCATGTTGTTTAGATGCGCTGTCAGTATTATGGATTGATTTAGCTTTTCTGTGAATTATGTCAGAATTTTAAAAAGTTATTGTGAAAGCTCCATAGGTCAGATCTTGAAATCAGTTCGTTTTTAGAGATAGATCCAAAAATTATTGCTTGTAAATCATATAGATTTATTACACACAAAGCAACCTTGCAAGCCTTGATGAATATTGTTTTCTGCTAATGAAAACCCCAAATTTTGTTTCTCTGTAAATTTGAATATTATATGAGACTAATAATCTATTTTTAAAATACAGAAATATTTTTCTATGATCTACTCAATCATGGGGAAGACTGATGGCTTAACAGCTGTTCAGAAATCTGTCTTTAACTCCGCATTGAGGGTAAGCCTCCAAAGGTCAATTGTAAAAGAGCTGGTTGTTCACAGAACGCTGTTTCTAAGGACATTAATGGAAAGTTCAGTGAAAGAAAAACATATGGTGGAAACAGGTGCACAAGGAACATATATCTCTTGCCTTGAGAGGACTGTGTAGCAAATCCCATTCAGAGTCAGGGTGAGATTCAAAAGGTGTTGATTGCAGCTAAAATTAATGCTACATGTGGCTGCCTTTTTTGGATCTAAGTATTTTTACTTCATTTTTTGCTTATGGTTAGTATTTAGTAATAAAAAGTGACCCTTGATCTATGCCTGAAAGGCGTTTTTATCAGTTGGTTATTCATTCAGATTGATATTTTACTAGCTTACTATGTCTGCAGCCTTTCAGCCCTTCTATAGCCACAAATGTGGGGCAAATACATGTTGAAACAATTTATGTTTGTGCTTTCATATAACAATATTTGAATCTGCTGTTGAGTAGATATGTTGCTGTGATTCTATTTTATTTTTTGTAGCTTTTGAAGTAAATCGTATTTGCCCTGTGTGTGACTGAAGCTGCAAGTGATGGATTGGGCAGGACACTTTAAGACGACCATTCAGAAAGTGTATTGTTTTGCCTTTAAATTCAAGTCTTACGATGTACCGTATGTTGAAAGACGGAGGAAAAAAAATAGAAATACAAATCTTTTCAGTACTCACAAACAATTCACTTCCTTCAGATATACAAACATTAATTTCCTAGGATTTAATATCACAAGGTTACAAAGTTTTGTGTGAAAGCAGGAAGTATATATATAGTCAGAAGAACTGACTGAGAAAAGGGTGCTTGTCTGAGTCATAAGGTATTAATTATTTTTATTAAATCTGACACAAATCTGACTTGTCAGTATTTAACCTGAAATATTGATGAGATTCTAAGTTCTGACCAATTATCTTTTTTTTTTTCAATAAATTGGTGATGTGTCCTTTAAAAGTGTCATACTCATTTGAAATACGGATGGCAATATGGGATAAAAAGTTTATCACATTCTGCGATTCTGTCATTATTTATGACAGTGAATGTGATAATAATAATAAAAAAAACAATATTTGAAGAGGTACTGCAGTCTTTTTTGTCCATATATTGAATGTTTGAGATTGTTGGTAAATCCTACTTAAAGAAAAAAAAAAAGCAACTTACTAGTAAAGAAACTGTTTAATTTTCTATAGAGCTTAATTGGAACACCAAATAAGTAGTAGAGTTTTAGCACTAAGCTACACATGACAACAAATATATTTATATTTTTTAAAAATACTGATGGTTATTTCTGCTTTCATGGAACCTACACAGGAAAAAAAAATAGCAAAAGTAACTTGAGGGAATGATAGACATTATTATTTAGAGTTTGTCATAGTAGTGTTAAATCAAATTTGCATGCCAACTAAAAACTAATTTACTATAAATGTTACAGGAAATTGTCATCCCAGCCTGAAACAAAAATAAATATAAATAAATTTAGAGAAGGTGTGTACACATTATTAATATAGCACATATTACTCATGAGCACAATGTATGTGCTCATGAGGTATGTGCTCATGAGGCATGAGCAAACCTAGCAATTATTCATGTTACATATGTTATTTCTACATCTAAATTGCAAGGCTTCTACATAAGGTTTAACAAAGTAAAAAAATAAATAAATAAATATTACGAGATTTGTTTTGAGAATCAGGCAAAGATTTTTGACATTTGGTCTAGTTTACATATAACGAATTATGACATTTATTAAGTATTGTTTATGTTATTTAAAACTTGCACTTAGCAGCTTAAATAATTGCAAAACACGAAAGATTTCTAGCTCCGATACTTTTAAAGAGAGACGAGCACCTTGAAGTAGCAGCTAAAGCAAATTAAATTGCAGACATTCTTCCGGTTCAGCTTCAGACTTAATGTGCATTCTGGTGCATGTCTTTCATATTTCTTTTCTTTTCATTTTTGGTGAGATCAAACCCAGACGTCTTCCTTATTTTTACATCCTCTTTTGTTCTTCTTCTTCTTCTCAGGGGGAAAAGAAGGGCGTCCTTGGTCGGTTCACCAGCTTTTTCCAGAGAAGAAAGAGCAGCAGCAGCCAGCAACAGTCAAACACCTCCACAAATTCGAGCACACCAACTTCTCCTGTGTCTCCCCGTTTCCCTGTATCCCACGAAGAAGATGGGTTAAAGCCTCAAACGGGGTCACATGATGCATCCCCTGGAACTGAGCTCGACGACTCCCTCAGTCAAAGCTCCGGCCCCAGTGTGGCCTCTCTGATTGTGGATGGGACAGACCTCCCGTTCGCAGACAGCGGCAGCAGCGGCAGGAGCAGTGTGAGGGAGGTGCGTGTGTCCACGGTCAGCGGTGCTGGAGCTCAGAAGAATTCTGGGAATGTGACGCCCACCAGTGCAGAGCTTCCATCTGCTGCCTGTCCAAACTCAGACACAGATTTAGGCTTTGCAGAATCAGTGGTGGAAGAAGTTAGCAAGAGATTGCATGTTAATTTGGACAACAACATCCAGAACTCCAGTGAGGGGAACGTTGTCACCCCTACCACACTGATGTCAGTTAAATCCCCACTTTCCTTGACGCTGGACACCCCAACGTCTCCCAACTTAACCTCCATATGTTTGGCATCAAAGAAAACCGTGGTGAAAGTTGGAGAGAAAGGCCACAGCACTGTGTTAAAAGGAATAACTTTAAGCTCTCAGTCATCCGTATCACAAAGCACCAGCAGTCAGCAAGAAAAAAATGACCCAGATCCACAGAGGAGAAGAACCGAAGTCAGGATACCTTCCAGCAGTTTGTCTGAGAAAACTCCAGCTGCGACACAGAGCCCTGTGCCTGAGAGAGAGCAAACAGCCGAAAGGGATTCTCCCGTCCTGCTCCATAAAGCCATCTGGGTGGAAACATACCTGGGAGATGAGACGGAGGAGGAGGAGGGAGAGGCGGATGTAATGACACAGGAGGAGGAGGGCTTTAGGGTGGACTCACCTCCTGTGCTGGCCATACCGGTCAGAGTAATACCTGAGGATGAGGTGGTAACACAGAAGGGAACCCCACCCGCCCCTTCGGAGAGTTTGCTATCCGGTGGCAGCTTGCCAGAGTCCGACATCACCACGGCAGCAACTTCAGAGGAGTTTCAAACATTCTCGCAGGAGCCGGGAGAGCCCGACACCAGCACGATCCCAGAACCTGAGTCATTGGGAGAAATCCGCTCGACTCGCAAGACCGCGAGTCTGCCGTCAACCAAGGTTTTTGCTCAGAAAGTAATTATTGAGCCGGAGCTGAGTTTGGAGGACGACGACGTAGATTTAACTACTGATACATCCAGGAGAGCAGAGCTAAAGGGGTGAGTTTTATTTTTTCTTTGTTATGGTGTCATTTTCCCCTTTGATCACTGAAAAAGCAGAAGAGAATAAAGGCTGCACGCAACCTGATATCCAAGTTCCCATGTTCCTTTGTAGCCAAGCAAAACAATAAGCTGAGCTGGTTGAGAGGCACTGAAATATTAATTTACAGTAGATAATATCAGTCACATACAGTATGTACTCTGTAGTGCTGAAAAGCTAAAAATTTAGCTAAAGTGAATGTATTAGGGACTTAATGAACAATTCAGATTGTTAATTAATTGTGAATTATTGTTACTTTTCTCAAGGATTGTTGGAAAATGTCCACCTTTCTGGATGTGTCTTTGGCTCATTGCCATCTAAGCAATTTTATAACTAAAAAAAAATCAGCTGTTTTAGAGATTATAACCAAGATTATTTATTTACCTTTTTTAAAACAATGTGCCATCCAGACTGAAGTCGGTGATGCGTGAACAAGACTAGTTGAAAACATAAAACATAGATCTCTTATGTTTGGACATTATGCGAGCAGTGTGTTTTACAAATTGTGAGAAACATCACTGTTTTCTTCAAGTAAAAAAGGTATTTAGCCTAAAACTAAAAAAGGTATTTAGTCTAAACCCAGTGACATGATTATTATCACTGGGGTATTTTAAGGCAAATATTATCAGATTCTTTTTTGCTACAGTTTTACATAGATAATCTGAGTTTATGAAAGAAATCTGATCATTTCTTATCTTTTGAGATGTGATTTTTAAAATACTCTATGGTGATAGTCATGTTATCGTTCTTGATGGCATTATGGAATAAACATAGAGATAAACACCAAAGCTGCTAAACAGACACCAGTTTCTTTCATAGATTTTTGTCATTTTAGCTCCCATGGGCCAGTATAAACCAACTCAATCCTCTAGGATGCGGTACACTACCACTACCATGTCAGACTGTTGATAGTCTAATTGTGCCATTAATTTCATGTTAATTTCAATCTTGATTCTTTTTGACAAATGCAAAATCTGTCACTGCTTACTCAACAATGTAGTTTTTTTTTTACTGTGGAAAATGACATGCAATTTCTGCCCAATCTCTTACTTAATGTTGAATCTTGAATGCTCACTTTAACTAAAGCAAGTGAGGTCTGCAGGGGTATCGATGTTGTTCTTGGTTCTTTTGTGACTTTCTGAATGAGTCATTGTTGCTTTTTTCAAGTAATTTTGGTGTGCCAGCCACTCCTGGAGAGGTTCCCCCACTGTTTCCTTTATTTGTGGATAATAAATCTCACTGTGGTTCACTGAGTACCAAAGTCTTAGAAATGACTCTTTAACTCTTTCCTGACTGATAGATGTAATTAAATTTGTCAAAAATACGCTTTTTAAAGAGACTATATACTGTTCCACGTTTAAACATTTCATATTTACTATAATAAACTCTGTGCTTTCTATAATTGTTTCACAGATATGCTGTAAAACAAGCCTGTTTCTCTTTACTTCTTTGACAGATTGACAAACTTCCAACAAGACAATGAAACTGAAATCAAAGATAACAAAACCGAAGCACCAAGAACAACAGATGAGCCCTCACTGTTCAACACTAAATATACTACTGAAACCATAATTAAAGAAGAAACTGAGACCCCTGCTTCTGGAGTTACTATTGCAGCTTCAGACATGAGCAAACCTAAGTTACAAGATGAAGACATTGGAGTAAAAGCCCAAAGTAGTCACATACCTGCTGCTAAGCAAGGAATTAAAGGAGCAGTAGACAACTTGCATGCTTCCACAGGAAGTGGAACAAAGACCTCTTCATCTGTTGCTGGACTTAAGATGAAGACTGTCCCAAGAAAGACCACAGCAGGCACAAAAACAGAAGGTTCCAGTGATCATCCTTCACTTAAGGAGCGTAGCACTGAGAAACGTGTTTCTGCACTTCCAGTGTTAAAAGATCAAAGTGGTGTTAGTCACACAAAGCCTAAAACTCAGAAAGTTTCAACATCAGAAACTGATGCGAAATCTCCAGAAGCATCTGATAAAATATCTGAACCTGATGTCTTTGGGTTAGCAGTCGTTTCCAAACTTCCAAAGCAAACTAGACCTAAAGAACCTGTCAAGTCTCCAACCAAATCAGTCAGAAAACCCAGCTTTGAAGAAACCAAAAATGTGAGAGCCACATCAGGAAATATTTCACCTACAAAATCTGTGTATAGAACAGGGATAAAGCTGAACAAGGAAAAGTCAGATGAGGAGTATGTAGACTTTGTCAATGGAGTGGAGCTTGAGCAAAGAACCGGTAAAAAGGTGAGCCATCCTGACAAGGACGCTCTGCAGCAGAACCAACAACAGAGTAGTTCATTCCTGGCATCAAAAAGTAAGTTGCCAGTTTCATCTCCAACAAGAAAAACAAATATCAGTATCACACCGACAAGCAGCCACAGCTTTAAAAAAGTGTTGCCTGGTCAGACTAACTCAGACAAAGGTGAAGCAGTCCAGAAACAGACACCAGAAGAGCAAGAAGTAACTCCCATCGATGAAAATGAAACACTGATGCCGCAGCCTGAAAGTCCAAAGAAAGGTAAGAGTCCAGTCTGGTCTATCGGCTGAGCTTTTTATTCTTAGTTAGTCTGGGTCAACTTTGAGGCTGTTGAAAATGGTTTGTCAGGTAATTTTATGTTTATTTGAGAAGGTAGTTCTTAAAGCTGTTGAACTCCCTACACTATAGTAAAGTGATTTTTATCTGTTTTTAGTGAACACTGTATTGATTTGTTTCTATTAACAAGGGTCAACGTTAAGGCGATTTAAAAAAATAAATAAATAAATAAACCATATAATTTATTTTCTGAATCTTCCAATTTCACCGCATTTATTTATTTGTTAATTGCAAGTTGTTAAAAACTCTTTTTTAAGTTATTTAAAAAAAAGTAATTTAAATCTTATTTTATTTTATAGTTTTTTTTGTGGATGGCTTTTAGCTTTTGCACCATATTCAATCACAATAGATACAATAACTTCTGTCTACATCACAAAACTGTGATAGCAAACTTGCATGTTCAGCATGTCTCACTGTATAAATAATTAAAACTCAATCACATATCCACACCAAGGAAGTACTGCAACCTGATGCATGCCATTGCAATAGAATACTTTCCTGATTTTTTTCACCTCAGTTCCCTTGAATAACATTTGTGTTTGTGTTTTTCAGGAACAGGAAGTATGCCACCACTGAAACCTTCCAAACCCCTATCTAAAAGAAGCATGAGTCATGAAGAGAATGACACAGCAGGTCTTTCTTCTTCTCCCACTAAGCAAGAGAAAAACGTGTTCGCAAGGCTCACCAAGCCAAACGAAAACATGAGACAGCATGGGAAATTTCCTGCGAAGGAGCTAACTGAGACTTCATCATCCGGGAGCAAGCTTCCCACAAGAAATCAGAAAATCGCCATCAAATTAAAGCCTAAAATCCAACAACTCTCATCAAAATATGAGGATTCAAATCTCAATACAGTTAAAGACTCAATTGTGAATGATAAAGAGACTGTCACAACAGATACTAAGAAGGACAGTGACTGTAAGTCTGCAGAGGAACACATTAAAATGGCAGAAAAACAAACTAAAACCCCTCAAACTACAGTGGAAGGAGATGTTAAAGGTGGAGAGATTGTTTCGGTTCAATCTGAGGAAATCAGGAATTCAAAAATTACAGGCGAAACACAGATGGACGCACACCCAGTAATCATTGTAGACAAAGAAATGTCAGCTAAGTCACGGGTTGCTGGTGGTAATAATGCAGAAACTGAGGAAAGAAAGCTGGAAGCCAAAGAACCAAAACCAGAAAATCAAAAAGACAACAGACATAGGCAAAAACCATTATCATCATTTAAAACGTCCACCACAGGTAAAGCCAAAGATGTGTCAGAGGAGCTGCAAAGCAAGACTAAATTAAAATTTGCCAAAGAGAAAAACTCTGCAGTTCAGGTCTTTGACATTAAACCAGCCCCTAAGGATGTAACCAACAAGTCAGCCAAGCCTGAGCTGGATGTAGGCATTCATTATGGCCCATCAACAGAAACTGGTCAGGAGGGAGTTATGTCTACATCAGAAACAAGAAAGAATATTCCTGCTGAACTTGTCTCAGACTCACAGAGTCTTGCTGTAGGATCAGATGTTGTGAGCTCACCGGACTATTTGGAGGATCCAACTAAAGCTATAAATAACAGAGTATCCCAAACATTAACTGCTGAAGCAGCAAAAGGTTTTGATGTAGGGGAGAAAAATAAGGAGGAGGTTGGCTGGAAACCAGCTGAGGCTTTGGATGCAGAAACAGAGACTGTAACTGTTTGCCAATTGCCCAAGAATGTTGAAAATCAGTTAAACAAAGAGACTCTTTTAGACGAATCTGGAAGCAAGGAAAAAGACTCGAGGCCAGATGAAATGCTTAATCACACTGCAGCAGAAAGCTCTGAGTCACAAAACAGTTGTAAAGAGAAGCTCAAAGAAAGACCTGTGGACTTTGCAGGGAGAAGAATTATGAGTTCAGGGAAAGCAGGCCATCTCTCAACAGAAGAGAAAAGCTTGCAGCCTAAGGCTACAAAGAACCAACAGGCAGTAGTTAGACATATCCTGAAAGGAAAGAAAACCAAGAGCGAGGAAGCAGAGAGCGCAATAGTTGAAACTGCAGCAAGTATGATTGACACAAAACAGCAGAACTTACAAGAAACTTCACAAAGCGACTCTATGAATATAGAGAGACCAAAGCCTCAAAATATTGAACCACTGGGGAAAAATGAAAAGGAAGCCAAGGAGCTAATAACTAAAAGTAAAAAGATGAAAGATGACTCCAGAAATCTAATAGGCAAAAATTATGATGTTGTAGAAGAAAAACCAAGTCCTGGAATATCAACGACTGACAGCAAAATGCTGGAGACTGAATCTGAAGACGTCGCCAAAGAAAAAGAGGAGATCGTATTTAAAAAACAAACTATGAATAAAACAACAGAACAAAATGCTCAGACATTAACTAATTCTAAAACTGGAGAAGAAGGTGGAAATATAACAAAACAAGGAAGAAATGAAAATCATATATCAGATAATGGACAAAAGGTTGCAAAAACTGAAGAAGAAAAGACAAAGGAGACTCAAGCTGTAAAACTATCATTAGTGAGCACTCACGTTGAAGAAAACAATGTAAAACCTGAAGTTGAAATCTCAGAGAGCTTTGGGAATGAAATTGTAAGAGCTAACAGTGAGGATGCAAAACAAAAGGTTCAGACAACTAAAACTGTTCTTGAAACATCGACTAACAACCAACAGGGTCAAGTGATAGAGACTGGTAATCATGATGGAGTATCTTCAGAATCTGAACATCCGAAATCTGAAATTACTGATTCATCATTGCAAAGCTTGTCAAATGAGACAGAAACTCCAGGACATATTAGTAAAGATACCAACCAACGGGTCCAGGAAGTGTTAACTGTTGGTAGCCAGGATGGAATATCTTCAGAATCTGAACAACTAAAGTCTGAAAAAAGTTCCTCAATGCAGACTATTGTAAATGAGACAGCCGCTCCAGATCGTTCCAGCGAAGTTAGCAACAAACAGGTCCAGAAGCCAATAACTGTTGGTGACCACAAAGGGAAGTCAACAGAATCTGAATTTATAAAATCCGAAATCAGGGTTTCATCGTTGCAAAGTCTGACAAATGAGGTCACAACAGGAAACCATACTGAACACATACCAACACCAGGCTCTGAAGGAGATAGAGATGACTCTGCAACAAAAGATACCGTGACAGAATGTTTGGTGAATGAGTTAGAAACTGCTAATATAAGAAATGACCCTGGAGGCCTCCAAGAGTTCAGGCCAATAAGTGCTAGAGATGGAGGCGCAGACGAATTAAAACAAGCTGAAGATGAATTGAGGGGATCTGAACGTTCGAGTAACAAATCAGTAAAACAACCAGATATCGATGCTGAAGTTCAGGATAGTAATGGCACCCAAGATGCTCACTCTGTTTGCAGTACCACTGCAGTTGGAGATTTGGTGAATGAAACAGCAGATGTTCAGAAGTCAAACACTGGTGTGATGCAAGAAAATGAAATCAAAATATCACATCAAGAATCTAAATACTTTGACATAAATGTCAAGTTAAGACCAGAAATGTTGGAAGACAAAGCTTCAGAAGAGACAAAAGAAAGTCAAATCCAAGAGGTTAAACCTACAACCACCATGGGTCAAAGTGCTAAAGAATCTAAAGAATCTAAAGACAAGACTACAAGTAAGGACCAATCAAATGACAGTTTAGTAAACGAATCAGTTAATGAAAATGTCACCAGCAAACTTGAAGTCAAGAAAGACACAAAGTCCACTATCTCTGGTGACTCAAATGAAAGTTTAACAATATCAGATCAAGAAAAGTTAACAGGGTCTGCATCAGAGACATTAAAAAAGGAAGTTCAAGAGAAGAAAATACAAAACTATGGCATGGATGCAACCCAAGATCCTGACAATCCACTCTCTTATAATGATAGGAAATTAAAAACAGAACTTCAGGATTTATCTTCTGAAAGTTTGTCGAATGAAACAGTACCTTTGAAAGACATCAGTGAAGTTGTCAATACAGAAGTCCAAAGATCCAAAACTACTAGTGAAAAAGGTGAAGATTTACCAAACCTAGATCAAAAATCCAAAGATTCAAATTCTGTAATAACTGAAGTTGGCTCAAAGGAAACCGGGATGGAGCACAGCATCCAGGATCATAGCACTGAAGATCCTAAAGACGACTGTGGTGCTAAAGTCAAGGAACCACTGCTAGTAGCTACAGAGCAGACCCAGAAGCCCTCGACTACTACAGAACAAAATCGTGGTACAACACCAGGTCAAGACAAGTCAGCACAATCTGCCACAAATGCAGACCTGAAAGAAAAACTGGAGTCAGTAATACCAGCAGAGTCAAAGACTGAAATTCAAGAGCTGAATGCCAGAACTGAAGGAGTTCAGATTCATGACCATGAAAAAACTGCACCAATTGACCCATCAGTCGATCAGGCAAAGAATATTGAAATTCACAAAGCAGACACTCAAAAAGAACAAAGTATCTCAACTGACAAAGATGGCAAAGTTGAGATTAAATCAGACATACATTCCAATGTTTCTGATGATACCGTTTCAAGAGACCTTCAGGAGAAGACACCAATTGTTTTAGGAAATACAGATAACCTGACTGCTGCCAAAGAAGAACAGGATGCAAACGTCACTGCTGTGGTTCAAAATATACCAAACACAAGTGTTTGCGCAGTCCAAAAGAAAGCGTCTTCCATTGGTTCAGTTCAAGTATCACTTAGGAATGATGCTCTGAAGACTGATGAGGTCTTTGAAGAAAGTATTCAAAAACCTGAATCATCTGCAGAGAGGTTCACTGCAGGTCGTGGTTTGAAACACGAGGCACACGAAATTTCAAAAAAAGCAACAACTCAACTCTTTGATTTTGACAAGGCTAAGCCTCCAGGGAAACCGGTTCCACCCAAACTGACTCCGTCCGCCTGGTTGGACGTGGAAGACCGTCACAAAAAGAAAAAGGGACGCAGAAGAAATGAAGATGAGACAGCTAGTGATGACGACTTACTTGAGCCAGAGGAAGTTGATGATTTTCTCAGTAGTGTCAGAGGAGGAGGAATACCCTTTTCACTGCCTCGAAAGAAACATATTCGTAAAAAACTCCAGTCCCCACCTTTTGCTATGCCAGCCATCAGGGAGGACCGCTTTGAGCGGACATTTGATCCAGAGCAATTTCAGTTTGGCTTAAGAAAAACTGAGAGACGCATGGACCTTTCTCCAGCTATGGTAATCAAACAAAAAAATGCTAACAGGAATGGCAGTAGTACTGACTCTCAAGAGAGCGGCACCTCAGCAGACAAACTAACAACTCATAAGGTTGAAGGACAGGATGAGGCCAAAGAGGAGACTCAGGTCAAAGAGGGAAAACCAGAGAGGCAAAACAATGAGCCGGGGAAGATGACGTCAAGACTCGAGAGGATGTCCATCCTCACAGACTTGCTTAGCTCCCCTCGGACCTCCAGGAAGTCAAGAACTGAAGCTTCCTCTGCCTCAAACAGTACAGTCCCGTCTAACCAGCAGCAAGACGTTGGACCGCAGGGAGTTACTGCCTTGCCTCTGCCTGTTCCCCCTGCTGATAACAGGGGCGTGAAAGGTGCAGATCAAAGCTTGATTTCAGAAGGTGGAATAGTTGCTGTTAGTGAGTCACCATGTAGCTCCTCCTCTGTTCCTCCTCTGTCGGTGCTCTCTGAGATGGACCTGCCTGATCATTCAGAGAAACAGCTCAAGAAAGACACACCAGAGCCAGAGGCCTCCATGGACTTTACACAGACAGCTGACCTAACCCCTCCTGCTATGGAGCAGTTGTCAATTACAAACATATCCATTGTGGATGCGGGCCCGAAGAATCCTACAGTACTGCCTTCTACAACAAACTACAATCATGAGATATCTCAAAATGGACTTTGTACAACTAAAATCAAGGTAGTAGCTTTTTTTTGTTTCACTAACATATTTATTAATTGCAACAGGAACATACTGCTTTAAATGAGTACAAATGATTCTGAAAGTCACAGCTGCAAAGAACATATTTGTTTCTGCTTTACTCCCATGGAGACACAAGCCTCAGGTTGTATCTTGTTCACCTTTTTTTTTTTTTGTGTGTGTGTGTGTGTGTGTGTGTGTGTGGTGAAAGGAGGGGGTTTCATACTTCAAGTTGCCAAGTTTTGCAATCATTTGCAAGAAAGAACAAGGAAAACGAGCACGTTCAGTGTGGCACTCTACACAGGAAATATTTTGCAACATTGGTGCACATGACTTTTCCTGTCTCTGGGCAAAACATTTGCATCAGTAAGCAAATAACACTGATATGAAAATTAAATGCATTCATAGTAAAAGGGTAAGACACAAGCGACAAGCTTTTATTTTTTTGCCACAAGGAATTTGCGAAGAGAAAAAGTGATTTGAAAGAAGATGGGTTGCTTTTAAATTTGTATGCATTTAGTCAAAGATGGATTAATAAATGTGAAGTTAAATATAACATATTAGTGATTCAAGCAACTGCTAAATTTAATGGAAAAAAATAGTGAAATATACCCCAAAATCTTATTTTTTTAATACGATGCTGAACTGTAGGTGGTGTCTTTTTGCAAAACAACTCTTCCTCTATAGATATATCAAATAACCATAACCTTATCCAAGCTTACCAACCTAACGTTGACTTTTCCTCGTAGGGTTGATTTGCATCAAAAATAATTAAAGAATTGTGTCTTCACCTGTCTTGCAGAAACCTGTGGTTAGAGGACACCACAGAAGACCTGGGAAGGTAGGATCTGAAATGTTACTAGTTGCATTTTGTGAGACATTGTCTTTTTATCGCACTGATGGTTCTGTTTGTTCATGCAGATAGTCATACACGAACATGCTCAGTTTGGTGGGGAGGCATTTGAAGTCTATGGTGACGTAGAAGATTCCACCTCGATGAAACTGTCACCTGTGATATCGATCAAAGTCATCAGAGGATGGTACGGGATTCTACTAGTAGTTGTAAAAAGAAAATTACTGTTTGTTAATACAAGAGGAGTAGAGAAAGCAGAGGGAAACATATAAAGTATTGTTTTACGTGGCATGTTTTATTATGGCTGACTGTTAGTATAACATGATGGGATGGCAAGTATAACATGATCACAATACTTTGCCACATCAGAGTTTAATCCGGTCAAAAATAGGATGAATAGTCAAGACACCTCTGGCTAGAGGTGTTTAGTAGCATTGATGAAAATATTTACCTTGGAATCACTTATTGATTGAGTCCATAGAAATGTATTCAGCAGTAGCCCAGTTCTATCTCTGTGTTTATGGTAATTTGTCATAACTTATTGAATGATCAACTGAAGTCAGCAGGGTAGGCTGCCACTGATTCAGATTTTTTTGTGAATGTCTTTCTCTCACTTATGATGTAGTGTCATCTTCTTACTCTGTTTTCAGCTGGCTTCTCTATGAAAAGCCTGGCTTCCAGGGTCGTATCCTTGCCCTGGAAGAGGGTCCCATGGACCAGCTAGTGAACATGTGGGCAGAGGAGGGAACTCCAGAGACGCTAAATGAATTGGGTCAACCTGTTCCAACAGCACCGATGGTTGTAGGTTCCCTTCGGCTGGCAGTCAGAGTGAGTCACGATTCATTTTACCTCATCCCTTCAGTCCAACTCACTACTTCTGTATTAACACTGTCCCTATATCTATATCGGCGAAAAGTTTGGAATGAAAAGTCAATCTTGATAATTAAACCATAATCAAAAACCCTACAACTCACTAAATGTGTGGGAACTTATACTTTTGTCAATAGCTTAGAAATATTCAGTCATCTACATTTAAAACAAAAAAAAAAAAAAATCTTTGTCATGTTTTGTATGCTGTGACTATGTGCAGAACTCTATAGTCACAACTGTTAGCACTTCTGTGTGGTAAACGGTATTAAAACTCATATTTTATTGTAGCAGAAAAATCTCCTAGTGAAAATTTGGGAAAAATTTACAATTTAATTGGAGCACTGGTACATTAATTCAGATTCATTTGTTTAAATATTTAACTAAATGAATGGTGGGAATGTTGTAATTCTTTAATAATTTCAGTAGATTCAATTCAATTGATAATTTGATATGATCGATTTGTTAGGGTGTTTCCTGTGATCTATAGTTGCATAGAATTGAAGTTATTGTAAAAAAAACAAGTTATTGTATTTTAAAAACCTTATTTCTTTCTCTCTGTAGGATTACAGCATTCCCAGGATTGACCTGTACTCAGAGGTGAACGGGTTAGGGGGGATGTCATCTTATTGTGACGACACGCCAGATCTCGGTTCATATGGGATCCCACAGACCACAGGCTCCATTAAGATTCACTCTGGAATGTAAGTTTTGACGACACAGACAAACTCACTATGCTGGGAAAATGTTCACGGGTGTAAATACAGTGCCTTGCATACATTTTTTTTAAATCAAATTTTAAACCACATACTTTAATGTATTTAATTTGGCAAATAAAAAGTTGAAAATTGTGGCATGGCTATTTATTCAGACCCCTTCTCTCCGATACTCATAAATAAAATTCTGTGCATAACCACCTGATTAGTAAATTATTCTATGTGTATTACAATCTCAGTTAAACCGTAACAGCTCTGTGACGGCCTCAAAGGTTTGTAAGTGAACATTTGAGGACAAAAGATATGACTGAAGGAACTCAAGGAACTTTTCAGACAGGTCAGAAATAAAGTTCTGGACTAAAACTGAAAACCTCCCAAACAGAATCTTGCTATTGCAATGCTTTTTTTCTGCAGGGATAAGGGGGCTGGGAGGAGCTAAATAAAGGGGAATACCGGAAGAAAGGGTGGTGGTTCACCTCTTAGCAGGATAGTGAGCCTTAGCACATAACCAGAGCAGAAATGGAATTGATTAGAACAAAACATATTCATGTGTTAGAATGATTCAAAATCCAATCATAAATCCAACGAAGAATATTTGACAAGATGTGAAAAAACATTCTCCATTCAATCTGACTAAGCTTCAGCAAATAAAATAGAATATGCAAAAATTTCAAAAAAATGTCTCTCAGTGTGCAAATATTGTAGAGACTTATCTCAAATGATTTGTAGTTGCAGTGAAAGGTGGTTCTGCGAATCTTTGGCTCAAAGGGGCTGCATATAAATGCATGTCACTCTTTCCAAATTGTTACTTATAAACTTTTGAAAACCGTGCATCATTTTCTAACTATGAACCACTTTGTGTTGACTTGTCAAATGAAATCCCAATAAGAAGACTTTGATGTTTGTGGTGGAAATGGGACATAATTTGAACAAGTCCATAGGAGTTTGAATTCTTGTACGGGTATGAATGCAACACTCTATGTTGAATAATCTTTCTTGAGAATTGGAAAACAAAAAAAAAAAGTTTCTGTGAACATCATCTGTGTTGTGTCTGTGAAGGAATGCGAGCAACAGGCCACAGCTTGTGGTTGTCATAGTTGAACTGCTGTGGATTAATTGATGGTTGACGCTGAATCGTGGTTTAGACAGTGAAAGTGTTGCTGTTATAACTGTCATTAGGCTTTGCTTGGGAGCTTTAAATCAAAATTATATACATTTGTCTGTTATAATCTCTGCCTTTATGTGTAGCTGGTTGGTGTACTCTGATCCAGGATTTGATGGACTGCTTGAAGTGTTAGTGGAGGGAGAGTATCCCCACCCGCAGAGTTGGGGTTTCCCTGAGCCTTTCATTGGCTCTCTCAGACCGCTCCGAATGGTAAAGTGTGTTACATATTTGTAATTCTGTAAAAATGTATTAGCTGTGTTTGGTTAAGATTATATGTCTCAATTTCAGGGACCAATAAGGGTGGAGCACCCAGCTGATGTTAAGGTTTGTCCCAGTTTCTATTGCATCTTATTTATTCGACCTGTTCTTGTTTTACCACAAACATGCTGATGTGTTGAGTCTTTGTTAGCTTTTTTTCTGTAAATACGTGAGGAAACTCACTTTTAGAGGCAAAGATTGCTGCTGATAAGCAGAATAACTGAAAATCAGCCTCTGCATATTTGCCTGATGCTTAGCGGTGCTGATGGCCTGGCTCAGATTCAGAGGCTTACGAAACTCTGTGATTTATTAAAGCATGCATAACAGCCTAACAACAACCTAACAATAGAGCATATGATAAAAAACAGGGATTTTCCTGTAAAATAATGATTCCAAACATGTAAAATCAATTGAGAACTTTGAAGTTATAGAAACAAATTGAAAACAAGAACTCTTTTGGTCTCATTAGGCAAACGGTTTTTTCAATAAGCTTAACCATAGATCTGCAATAAATGGACATTAATTGTGCTTAGGATGACTTATAAGTGTATTAGTAATGTTCACAAAACTACTTCTATGGTTATTATTTGGGCAGAGAGAAAAAGAGAGAGAGACCATTAAATCAGGGATTAATTTTATTATTAGTCTTGAAATGGCTGCATGATTATAAAGTAGGTCTTTGCCTGAACTTCCCATATCAGTCAGGAGATAATGAAAAGTTATGAAGGAACCAAATCAGAAAACATACGGCTCGATGTGAGCTCAAATCTTTATTTTTACAAACATTTGTTGGACGTACAAAATCTCTGAAGCTCAATGCAAGATAACTTCAGCCAAAACTGCCATGTAAGGATCACACAGTATCCATAGATTAGCAAATGCAACACACACTTACAAGTCAAATGACTATTTGGGAGACATGTCATGAGAAGAAACCAGACATGCTATGTCCCAGTATGCTAAATTGGAATTTCACAGATTAGATTTTCATTAACGTTTTGTAGCATATAGGTAGAGCAACCACCCCATATACAGAGGCTATAAGTCCTTGATGCAGCCGTTATGTTTGTTTTTCGACCCTAGGACCTTTGCTGCATGTCTTCCCCTTTTCTCTTTGTGCCCATTTCCTGTCTAATCTACTGTCAATAAAGCCTACCAGTACCAGACAAACCTTAATAAACAGTCCATGTCTGTTGTTAAGGTGTTGTTAAGATTTGTGAGGCTGTGGACCTGTTTCCCTTCCAAAGGCACAAATGCACTAGGCACCCTGTTCGAATGCATGGCATCATGGACTTTTTAAAATACCAGGTCATTTTATATTCAGTTTTACCAGAAAACTGGCAATGGTTTGTCATTTGACTTTTTCATTTGATTTCTCAGCAACATTGGGTACAAAACATATGGCCAAATTACACATGTTTAACAAAGATGAGGAACGATCAGAAAACACCAACTTCCACTAAGCTTTAGCTCCCTATTCTCATTTTCTACTCTAGGCTCTTGTGTTTGAAAAGCCAAACTTTGATGGGCAGTGTTTGGAGCTGGATGGTGATGTCTACAACTTGCTGGAGCAACAAAAAACAGATGGGAAGAACACAACTCTTTGTTCAGTTGGCTCTATAAAGATCCTCGGGGGTCTGTAAGTACTGTATTGGAGAGAGCAGCCAATCATTTTATACTTAAAGTTACCAAATAATTTTCAAATAGTGTCTCTAAGATACTCTTGTTTTGTCTTGAAGCTGGGTTGGCTATCAGGAGGCAGACTTTGAAGGCCAGCAGTACATCCTGGAGGAGGGCCAGTATCCTCACTGCAGTGAGTGGGGAGGGTCTGAGGACGGCCTACAGTCACTGCGGCCTGTACTTGCAGTAAGCATCTTTTGAAGAATTTCAAGTTTGATATGGGTGAATTTTTACTTTTGACGTGAACGCACTTGCTATTTCATTCTACGTGATGCTGTCCCCCAGGATTTCCAGTCCCCACACCTGAAACTGTTCAGTGATCCTAATTTTAATGAGCGGGGGGGCCACATGGACTTGGTGGGTCCCGTCATCAGCATGGAAGAAGTTGGCCGCAGCACTAAAACCCAGTCAGTCACCGTCACAGGAGGAGTGTAAGTTAACCGGTTTCTGTTAAACACAGTAAAGTTCAGCTCACCACCGCAGTGAGGAAACTGTATCTGTTGTGTACTTTGAAAGATTTGGGCGTCCTTCTCGTCTTACAGCCAAGACTAAGACTTATACTGCGCAAAACATACACACTTAGTCGCTCAAAAATACTAATACCAATTTTTTAAAAATGGATTGTTTTAACTAATATGACAGGACATACACAATATTTTTTAAAAAGGCTCTCAATGTTCCTTGAAGGCAGATATTTCTACTGGTGACTCAAGAAAATTCTGAAGACTTGATTGTACTTCTGTTACATTATTTAAACTTGTGAAATGATGGAAATGTTTGAGTATCAGAAGAGTGAAAATATATTTCTTAATAGCTATTTTGCATATAGCTTAGTGAATCAATAACTATAGATAGATAACATAACTTTTAGGTCATTTTAGGTTACCTTTTCCATTTCTCGAATGCCTCCATCTAAACATAAAGCACCGCATGCAGCTGCTTGGAACAACTTCACGCACTTTTCTCTGACTGCCATCCCTTCTGTGGTCATTTTTGTCTTTAATTAATTGATTAACTGATTGGCAAGTTGATTGTTTTATATTTGGTTTATCCTTACTATCCAGTAGTGTTTTGATGTATTTGATCTACAGTAACTAAGTAAATAACTCATCAATTTTTCAAAATAGATTGGCAGAAGGTAAAGCACTATTTCTCTATCTTCAGCAGTGATAGATTTCCAGTGAATGTTTTATATTGTTGTTTTTTTTTATTTGTTTGTTTTTTAACTTTGCAATATTTTAACAAACTATAGGCCAGATTGCTGTCACCAATTTAAAGCATGGTGTTTTTTGCAAAATCTAATTAAAAACAAAGTGCGCACCACTGACATATTAATAGCTATTTTGCAGTACATCATATATCAACTGTTCAGACAACAAGGTGAAGATGTCAAACTAGTTGTGTCTAACTCAAAGTAAAATCACCCCAATTGAAGTTTGTACAAAAAGTGACTTTTTTTTTTTTTTTTTACTTTTAACTTGAAGCTGTTCCCAAAGCATTTTAACTATCTCTTAGCTTTTCTCACATAGTACAGTGGGTTACGTATAATGCTCTAAATCATTTAAAGTTGCTTATTTCCAACCAGAATGTTGATTTCATTTCGAAACAACCGTTCCCATTAACACTATGCATCTTGCAGGCCACGTCCCTGTCTGTTTTGCTTCAGCTTTACATTTCAAAGCCTGGCTTCCTCTCTAAAGCCCTTCCCAGCTTTAGAGAGGAAGCATTTATATAGTTCCTAGTCTTTCAATTAACACCAACATGAGTCACCTTTCAAGAAGAGATCATTAGTTCTATTGTCAGGACTTAAAAGACTAAAATCAAGTCTTAGGCTTTTAAGAGCCGTGTGCCATTTCTGTGCTATCTCAGACTTCGGTTGAATGTGGTTAAACTTTGTCTGATTTTATATGACATTTTTCTGTTTGCTTTAAATCCGTCTCACCTGTAGTTTTACAACCTCTCAGTCATGAAGAGCTTTTTATTATGCAGTAAAGGCAGAGATTCATTTGGAGAACCGATCCCTGCAGCTCACATTCCCCCAAAACTGCATCACTACTTAACATTGCTGTTTGTTGTCTGCAAAATCAACATTTTAATCTAATGTTTAAGACTTATAAACACAAGAAGTTAGCCATCCGTTGTGTGTTTGTTCTCTCTGTACAGTTATAACATCGTTATCAATCCTCTTTGACTCTAAAGTTCCCCAATTGCACAGATCATGAATAAATTTAACACTCTTTTTATCTTGTAGTCATTCCCCTTCAACCATTAACCTTCAGCCCTAAGCTTTACTTTATTGCAAAAATAAAGAGAGATCTGCTTATGAATAAGTTATTGTGTAACTGAGTGTGTCTTGTTTGGGGAAAACCGCAGCTGGGTGGCGTTTGAACAACCTGCCTTCAGTGGAGAGCTCTATGTCCTGGAGAAAGGCATGTACTCAAACCCAGAGGACTGGGGAGCACAGAACTTCAACATTTCATCCATACAGCCCATCTTCCATGTGAGGATCCGTAACATGTGTAACATATTTTTCTTGTTCACTATTTTAAACAAAAACCTCTAATAGAGCCCTTGGTTTTGTTCTGCAGGACATGCTGATGGGAACAACACGGTTTAAGGTATCATCTCGTCTTTCACAGATTTTTATTAAAAAGACATCATGACGAGTATCGATGTGCTTTTTTTTTTTCTCCCTGAGTTGCTAAACCTGTTTGAATGTTTTACAGATCCAGTTGTACTCTGAACCAGAGTTTCAGGGAAGGCTGCTGGCTCTGGACGGCAGTGCAGATGCTCTGGATGCTGATTTCACACCCAAGTCATGTAAAGTCCAGGCTGGCAGGTAAATATGCCAGACAGAAGAGATTAACGTCATTTATTTATTTATTTTTTATAATTCCAAAGTGTAACATGTTCTCTACTGTACTCAGGAACAGTAGTTAGTGTTTTTCCAGTAACAATAGTTTTCTATATAGTAGGCTAATCTGCACACATCCATCTCTAAGAATATCCCTCTTGTTCTTTGGCTTGCTTCTAGAAAACCATCAACTTAAGTTCACATTTCTCGTTGATATCTCTTCCGTGGCATTTCCTTCGATATGTAATATCAAACTAAAAGTCATTGTTAAAACTAAAAGAATAAATATTTTGTTTCAGCTGGGTGGTGTATGAGGAAGCTAAGTTCAAAGGGAACATGTATGTCCTGGAGCAAGGAGAGTACCCCAACACAGAGGCCATGGGCCTCCTGTCGTCAGACTCCTTCATTCGATCAGTGCAGACAACTGGACATGTGTGTATCGTCTTTAAAACTGAAGTGAAATGTCTAGTAAATGTTTCATTAAGCATCAGTTGTGAAGTCAACTCTTTAATCTTCAGGAGTTCTCCCTGCCCTCCATCATCTTGTTCAACAAAGCGGGCTGCAGAGGTCGCAGGGTCGCTTTCACGAGTGGAGCAGTAAACCTGCTGCAGACTGGCATGGATTCACGCATACGCTCCCTGCTGGTGGAGGGAGGAATGTACGTAGAATCTGATTTTAAGTTGGGTGTTGGTGTAAATACTAATTGATCCATTTGTTTGTCAGGTCCAGATAAGCATGGCAATTAAAGATCCGTCATTCCCTTTTTCCTGTACAGTTTTCCTTTTTTTTCCCTCCCTTTGAATAGTCTCTTTTTATTCCTTATGTCCATCTTTTGTACTTCCCTCCTTTTAGTTTTTGATTTTCTCCTGGTTCTATATTTTAATCCAGTCCGCTAAATAAATATCTGCTAGAAAGTTATCATGAGCTATATTGATATATTTTATAATGTTTGAAAATTAACATGAAGGACTAACAACTCGGAAAGTTGAGTCTGGAAAAGTCTTAAGATAAATACATTGACTAGCCTCATGCATCTAATGGCGTTGTCTGCAGGTGGGTGCTGTATGAAGGAAACAACTACAGAGGCCGACAGCTGTTTATCCGTCCGGGTGAAGTGGGCGACTTCTGCAAGCTCAGCAACTGGCAGCGAATAGGGTCCCTCCGTCCACTGATGCAGGTGTGGAAGAAGTGATGCGCACCAATAAGATACCGGCTTTTGCTGACTTCGATAACGAACAGAACAGTCACAAGTCATGTTTTTGAGATGGAAGTTGTTGGGGGAGGGGATAAGTTTGAATAATCACTGTGTTAAGATAAATGCGTCCCAGTTATTGTCATGTTTTCTTCCAACAGAAACCGATGTACTTCCGTCTGCGGAACAGGGAGACGGGATGTCTGATGACTCTGACTGGAACACTGGACGACATCAAACTGATGAGGATCCAAGCTGTGGAGGAGACGGGAGGAGAAGACCAGCTCTGGCTCTACCGAGATGGACAAATATCCTGCAAGGTACACATCTTCATCATCGTCCTCCAGAACAACTGAAATATTGATGAATCCCTTCGTCTACTCATGTCAGTGGAAGAGTCTAGTAAATTCAGTAAAAATAAATAAATAAATAAATAAACAAAGGCGCGTTTTAGTAATCCCACAAATTTAACTATGCCTAATTTTGTGCTGTTTTTAGGCGACACCGCTCTGTATTTTTGCATTTTATGCCAAATCCGTCCTCTCTGTCCCCAGCTGATGGAGGAATGCTTCCTGGAGACGGCAGGTAGCGTGGTAATGTCAGGTACACGACTCTGCATCTCTTCAGAGCGAGGCAAAGACAACCAGCTGTGGAGCATCACCCAGGACGGACTGGTCCGCTGCCACCTTAACCCAAATCTCATCGTGGAAGTCAAAGGTCAGACACTTCCATCTCTAGAGTGTTTGATCAAAAAGTTCATAGAATACCCTTTATCTCTCAATAAATAGTTGTGCTGTGTGTGTTTAAAACAAAACAAGCTCACCAGAGACCTTTATGTGCTGTTGTGGCGATTTAGAGCATGTCTTAATCCAACACCGCCATCTCCTGGTCTAAAAAAAGCAGTGCAGCAGTGACCAACTACAGCGTCAACCCCTCAGCGCTTCAGATTGTGGTTGCAGTTTAACACATATCGCTGTTTGTCTGCAGGAGGCCATCAGTACGACAAGAACCAGATCATCCTGAACGATTTGGATGAAAAGAAGTGGATCCAGAGGTGGATTTTAGAGATTCTGTGATCTGATGAGGACCAATTAGCCGACTGCTTTAATGCACATCTGTCGAGGATATTTTCACCTGTTCATTCTTTTCGAGAAGGAAAACTATGAGCTGGTGTTTGCTATTTAGAACGTACGATTTACATAGGAAGACACGTTTAAGTTTTTGTCAAGCATTTAGTACCACGTTTTCTCTTCATGTAGCAAAAACTCTGCCTCGTTCTGATGCTGCATACTTTATCACCTGTGGTACTTTTCATTGCATGGGTCATAAATCTCTAATTTTCCTGCAGATATGAATGTATATATCTTACTTCAGGATGTTGCAGAAGGCATCAATGGTTTCTTTGCATAGATCAAAATGATCTTGTATAAAGTTTTTATATCTTTTTAGGACTTTTTGACACAAACTGTGCCTTGTTCATTACACTGTACATAATTCGCCTCGATGTACAAACTGATTTACAATTTTAAACAACAATGCAATTAGAATATTGCCCCCTAGTGGTTGTAAATATGTGAGAAAATGTTTGTCGTTACAGGTTGTTACAATAAAATAAAAATTATTTTTCACTGTTTTCTTGGACTTGCTGTTAACTTCACATGAAAAATTTCAATTTTAGGAGATTTTTTTTTAAAAGAATCTATTTTACAACCTTGTCTAATTTCAAAATTCAAATTTTTAAAGTGTTTAAAATGGTGTGATAAAAAACTAAATGTTTAAAATGTCACATTGTGTTATAAAGCACCAACCTAGCCATGATTTAATGTTATTTCTTTCATCACAATTTACTAAAACCTTTGTTTTATTTAAAGTCAAAATAATTTTACATTTGTTAATGCAGCAGAAAGTTACAGCATGACATTTTATTTAAGTGACAATGGCAAAAAATGTATAATAGTGTACAGTAGCCCTTGCTTAAGGTTTTGTGTCTTCTGATATGAAAAAAGTAGCACAAGCTGCAGCATTTCGCTTATTTTCAAGTAGTTTGTGTCATAATTGTTCAAACACATACACATTCCTGTTGAGAGTCCATGTTACACATCAAGATCCCCCTTTGCTGATTTCCACCACAGTCTTTCCTCGGGCGTGGCCCTTCTCTACCTTCTCCAAGGCCTGAGGGACCTGGGAGAAGCTGAACGTCTCCTCCACCACGGCACGGATCTGACAGGAGAGCGGAAAACACGCATGCTCGTCACGTGTTCTTCCGTTTATAACGTCGGCGTGAACAAAGCGTGGCCTCATACCTGTCCTGCGTCCACCATTTCTCCTATCTCATCCAGAGCTGGACCGCTCGGTGCAAAGAAACCCCAGCGGTAGTGAACTCCTTTGACTAAATGCTGCAGGAAAACAGAATTGAGTGTTTGTGTTGAAATCCTTATAATGAATCATTAGATAGTCAAGAGCTTCCATTTTAATAAAACATCTTAACATGTTTTTAGAAACATATTTATATTTGTATGTATGAAAGGTTTGATGGGCTCAGTTCCTGCTAAAGCTTAGAATATGTACATTTTGATCATGACTTATGTTTCCCTATATGGACAGTTGCAAAATGTAAACAAGTAAGACATTTTGAAGACAACGCCACATCTTCCTTCAATTTCAATATTACACATGATCTCATCTGATAGACAAAAAGGTAAAAAAAAAAAAACAATGGTGTCGAGAGATTTAAAATGAAAAATCCATATATGTATTGTGTACGAGAAAGTACACAATAAACAGTACATAGAATAGATATGGTGCTCACGACAAATGGGGCTGCACCCTATCAGTGCTTCCCCTGAGAGAACACCACGCCCATTCTATGAACCACAAAGTGTCACCAGGACAAATGACAAAAAGCTGTTTATGAAACTGCTAAGTGAGTTTCAAATGACACACTTGTTACTTTGCATTGGAAAGGCAAAACTTTCTAAAAATACCAATATGTCATGGCAGAACTCTTTACGTAAATGCAGCCATATCACTCTAGATTCAACATGAGAAGAATCAAATGTTTCTGTGGGGCCGTCCCAGGCACCCTGCAACACACTTCGTTATCACGACACAAAGGTTAGCGAGGAAACAATCCAAAAACAAAGCTCCGTTCCAGCGGAAGTCGTTCAGATGCGTCTTGGGAGTTTCTATTCCGCTCATTTTCTACAGTTCAAGTCATAAATCTAAAAATCTTAAAAAAAAAAAAAAAAAAAAAGAGTAGCAGCATTTCATCAATCTTGTACCTGCTTATATAAAAGGTTTTAGTCTTGTGTGTAGTTTCCTGTTGAGAACTCCCACGCAAAAAAAAAAAAAGCACTTTTCAAATACTGCACAACTTCCTGGTACTAGCTTGTCTTACGCTCAGCTCTGGTCGTCCTTCCTTTTTACCTTATAAAGAAGAATATACTGTAAATCATTTTAATGTCATTAAACAGTGTTCTGTCGGTCTAGAAATGTTTTGTAATGAAAAAAATAAACACAGATCTCCATTTAAATGTCTGCTGACAACCCAGCATACAATGCCATTACAACTGTTCAGTGACAAAGATAAAATGCAAAACTTCACTTGATTAAAGAAACATCTTAATGTTATTGTTCCCCATGGATAACTGAGCCTCAGAAATCTGCCATGTGTAACTTAGTTCAAAGCAAGGCATTTGGTTTTGTGCTTTTTTATGTAAGTGAAGTTAGATTATAATAAATTCAGAAACTAGTAGAGACCATATAGAATTATTTTTTTTACATATGTTGTGATAACTCCGAAATTAAAGACAGTGTATTTTTTTTTCTCCCGTGACATAAATTTTCCCTAAAAAACATCTACTTTCACAAAGAAAAGACAAATATTTACTGCTCTTGAGATAGCAGATAAAGAAGTCATTTTTACTTTACACCTACACATATGAGACTCGTACCTGACGAGCTTTAAGCTGTGGATTGGGTGGTGCAGCGAGGGAGAAGAGCATATCTGTGTGAAACACAGATATGCAAAACTGCATGGTTTGATGTTCACTGCAGAGAGCAAACTGACAGGAAGTCACTGTCTGTATGTGTGTGCTCCCCACAACAACCGACTGCTCGTTGTGGGGAGCACAAAACGTAGTGCTGTTTTGGGAAATGGTTTAGGACTAACAAATGGACAGAGTTTTAGGTTAGGTTTAGGTGAGGCATGTACTTGGTTCTGGGTAAGGACTAGGCTATAAAAAAAAAGAATAAAAAATAAATAGTATCCAATGCAAAGTCCTTATGTTAACAGACATTTGGACATATGGATTTGTCCAAAACTGGACAGATAAAATGAAAAATGCTTCCTCTTCAATGTGAAAGGAAATTACCAAAATACTTCCTACAGTTTGTTTTTTTTATACACCATCTGTAAACTGCAATTAATTGCACAATAAATTAAAAATAAACACGATCTGATGATAAAGATTTTTTGAAGGGCAATTTTGTTTACAAACATCATGATCCGTCTGGGTTATAGTTTCGGTTGTGTGCAATTTTTATTTTAGTTTCATTTTTTACTGTTTTTGGTTGTTGTGTTTTATTTTGGTTATTTAAAATATCTTACAGTCCTGGTGTTGATCCCAAAATTATAGTTTTTTTTTTTTTTGTTTGTTTTGTTTTTTAAGAGGGTGAACTGGACTAATTATGCTTCTATCGATATATAACTTGAAAATGGTCTCTAAGCAACAGTCACTTATCGCAATAATTACTAGGACAATTTATCATCAAGCAATATTTGTTACTGTGACAGGCCTACAAGTATATTCTTCAAAATAATCCTAACCGACTGCTCTTTCTCCGTCATGGCTGTTTTTCTGCCAAACGTGTAGCATCAAGTAGTAGCACATCACTAATCTACTGTAGATATATAACTGTAACATTTTTAATATTTTTATTTATTTATTTTCTTGATAGGAGGAAGTACAGTAGAGACTGTTTACATGTCACTGTGTCAGAAATACCTTGATAGTTTTGGTGGCGACTGTGGCAGCAGTCTGCAGCATGCCGTCAGCTACACCCAGCCGGTCTGTGTTCAGAAGAAAAGGTGTAACAAGAGTGACGTATTTGGCTCCAGTCCACGGTTTAAGCAGGCCCAGGGCCCATCGCTCAGTGTCGCCCCCTATGTTATCGAGGATCAGGTCAAATCTAAGAGTGCAAGAAACGAAAGCCGAGACAATGACTGAATGGCTTCAGATAATCAGAAAATCGAAGGTAGGTTAAAAGTGACTTACTTCTCAAGCGCACTTAGCGGCTCTTCAACAGGTCCAGCTGTGTAGTCGACCACATGATCCGCCCCGAGTCCTTTTACGAACCGCTCGGCATTGTGGGAGCAGGTAACTGTCACGTGAGCTCCCCACGCCTTCAGCATCTGGACAGAAGCTCAAGCCTCAAATGGGATCGAATTTATAGGGTCTTTCCAGTCATTCCCGTCACTCAAAGTGCTTTTACACTGCATTCATATTCATTTGCCTTCATCCAGATTAGAAAGCATTGTGGGATTAAATGCTTTGTCCAAAGACACATCATAGGTGGAGCTTCCTCCACAACTGTATCCACTTAATCACAGTCAACCTACATCATCCATTCATCCATTATCCATCCACCAACTATGAAATAAACACTTTTCAAAACCAGTCTACAAACAAAACAAATAAGAAGAAAAATGATTATGCCTGTTTCAAAATATTCACCATTTCCTGATGAAAAAAAAAAAAAAAAAAATCCTAAACACTGGGAGTTTAAATTCAGATGCCGATCTGCACATTAGATTATCAACCACAAAAAAAATTGAAATATTTTGACATAAGAATTAAATTAAAATGAATAAATAAACACTTAGCCGTCATCAACGTTTAAATACACACCTGGATTGCAAATGTTCCAACTCCCCCAGATCCTCCAAGGATCAAAATCCTGCAAAAAGGAAAAAGAGTGGACAAAAAATACACATGAAAATGTTGACTAACCAATATCTGATAGGATTTGTAGCCCTTCTGAAGCTTCATTATTAGCAATGACAGTTTTAAATAAGACAAAGGGCTGATTTTGAATAGAGAAGGCTTACAGGGGTGGCATTGTGTATTTTCAACCTTAAAATCTGGTTTTAGCTTTGAGTGACATCGCTTAACATAGGAACATAGCGCCATTTCATACCACAACCTAGTCTATTAAAAAATGCTGCATATATCCCTGAATGGCTGCCACAAGATATTCATGGAAAAATGCATGAAAGAATCAAAACAATACTCCAGGTATGTTTTTAGGGATTGAATAAGAGTACAACATAAAATAAAGCTAAAGAAAAATACATAATACCCACCCTACCAAGTGAATTTAGTGTTTAATCACTGTTTTAGTAACTGTTGTCGTTTTCTCTGGTCCCCACAATACTTATTGTCATTATTTTGTGTCTCTTTTCATCAATCATCACAGATGATTGTCTGTTGACTGAACCAGATGCATCTAAGTTAATGAAATCAGCCACACAAGAGAGGTCTGAGCCCACTTTAACGCTGCTACAGATCAAATTTACCCTGACACCATAAGGCAGCCTGACCCACCATCCTGTTTGCCTAATGTGCGACAGCC